GGCAGCACGCAGTCTGCCACTGGGTTCACCTGTGCCGCAAATGCCTTCTTCGCCACCTCTGCTTTCCCAGTGGAAAACCTGCGACAAACTACTTATGGAGAATGATCAAGTGCGATAAAAAAGAGGGACTGGACCCATACTTGTTCCTGCCATGTGGTCATGACCCAAGACATTTTCGTGTTTTTAGAAAAGCATGCCTTTGCTGAACATACTTCATATTTGATTTTAAAAACTCAGTAAAGTTGGTGAGCTTCGTGGAAGTGTTTTCAGACAGAAACATGAAAAGGTTAAAGGCACAAGAAGAGGGAAGTGAATGCTACATATAAAATGTTGTACTTCAAGTCTAAATTACTCAAGTCCAAAACCTTCTGCATTTGAAATTCCGATGATGAGTTTCTGTTTCAGGTCTTTTTTGCTCTTGTAGGGGGGGAGGCAAAGTTGATTGAAGCAGGTGTGAGCCACAGGTAACCTAGGGAAAAATAATTTTTAAAAAGATGCTAAGTCTTAAAATCTCCACAAAACAGCTGCTAGGCAACTTTAAAAAATCCAAGACTTTTCTGTGTGGAGATGGCTGATTCACTCCTTCACTGGACATTTCCCGAGGGCCTAACGCACTTCAGGCAGCACTGCAGATACTAGGTCACGTTTACAGACTGTCAACATCCTGCAGCCAGGGAACTCATTCATTTCAGAAGCTTTTCTTTTTAATCAGAAAAAACTGAATTTTTTAAAGATTTATTTGTTTGAAAGGCACAATGACAGGGAGAGGAGCTGAAAAAGATCCTTCATCTGCTGGTTCATTCCCCAAATGGCTGCAACAGCCATGGCTGGGCCAGGCTGAAGCCAGGAGCCAGGAACAACTCCATCCTGATCTCCCATGTGGGTGGCGAGAGGTCTAAGCACTTGAGCCATCCTCTGCTCCCCAGGCGCATTAGCAGGAAGCTGGATCAGATGCGGAGTAGCTACAATTCAATCTGACTCTTCCATACAGGATGCCAGTATCACAAGCAGTGGCTTACCCCAGGTGCGCCACAACACCAGCCAGAACTGAATTTCAATAATATTTTCCCCAATTTACCAGCTTTGGACCTTATTTGAGTTATTCAGTGTTTTCAAATCTCAGTTTCCTCATCAACATCATGGGGGTAAACTATCCAATTAGGTTGTTGGAAAGATTAAGAGAGTTGTCTACACAAGACATCTAGCAGAGTTGTAGATAATACAATGATGCTATATTTTAGTCTTGACTGTCAGAAACAAACACAGCATTTGGGGGAAACTAGATGCCCGCACTTACAAGTTGCTTGCCTTCAACACACACATGTTACTTATCCTCTGAATCCTTCTGATTGGGTCCCTCAACCTTTCACCTGGTATGTTTTTATCTTTATTCGGGATTTCTATAGATCTTAGATCCCTTCCTTCAGTCTTTATGAACTCTATAGCATCAGCTTTCAGAGAATTCAATAAAGATGAGGAATTAAGAGACTTCAACAAGTTTGTGGAAAATGCAATTAAAAGGTTTTGGTGTAAAAATTTTTTTTTGAAATCTATGTATAGTCTTTTTCATAATATGCATTTTAAGAACTTTTTGAAGATCTCTGGTACACATGGATTTCAAATATTTTTAGTGTCAAAATGAACTTATGTTTTTTTTTAAATTGTGTTCTGTTGGATATGATTTTTTTTTTTTAATTTGACAGGCAGAGTTCGACAGTGAGAGAGAGACAGAGAGAAAGGTCCTCCTTCCGTTGGTTCATCCCCCATATGGCTGCCATGGCCGGTGCACTGCGCCAATCGGAAGCCAGGAGCCAGGTGCTTCTCCTGGTCTCCCATGGGATGCAGGGCCCAAGCACTTGGGCCATCCTCCATTGCCTTCCTGGGCCACAGCAGAGAGCTGGACTGGAAGAGGAGCAGCGAGGACTAAAACCGGCGCCTATATGGGATGCCGGTGCCGCAGGTGGAGGATTAACCAAGTGAGCCATGGCGCCGGCCCCGAACTTATCTTTTAATTCCATTTTTCATAACTTTTTGAAGCATCCTCATACAACAGAGAAAAGGAGAACATCTCTAAAGAAGTTTGTACTATTAGAAACTAATCTTTGAGAGCCCTCTGTATGAAACGTGAAAGTATTAGAATCAGTTAATCTTGAGTGTTTGGTCAATGATGAGCACTATGATCAATGTTTAAATGCAATGTTTCATTTAATTTAAGCTTCAAAACAACATAAAATGTAGTTATTTTCATTTTACTGGAGAGGAAAAAAAAAGTGGGAATACATAGGTTAGGTAATCTGTTCAAAGCTGCAGGCTGGTAAAGGTAGAGGCCTGAGATCCAAATTTCAGTCAGTCTGACTTCAAAACTAGTGTTGTGAGTAGGTAGAGATGTTGCATTCTCATTTAACAAAAATGAGTGAATCTTCAATAGCAGACCTTATAGGAAGGATGAAAAGTCCTCTTTTATCTGCAGTGTGTCAGATCGAAATGCCATCTGTCTTTGATGACGGCTGTATTCATATTTAATATATCTGAGTTTCCCACTCTTGGGGGTTCTGAAGTTACTCTAGATTCATGACTAAGCCATGTTAACTCACAAAGTAATCCTTGAAATTATAATAATTGGAAAAGAAAAGCTGTAATGTCATTTTTGTATTAAAATATATTACTCACATTATCCTTTAAAAACTGACAGTATTTTTGTTAATATAAAATATTTTGAGAAATTAACTTCTGGCAGGCAAGTAAATCTGTAGTCTCAAAAGGCTTCTCTTTTTTCATTTTAGGTCTTTAATTTTAAATTTGTTTACAAATTTTTTAGTTTTATAGACATATGAGGGTACTTCAGAAAGTTCATGGGACAATGGAATTAAAGATGTTTACTTTCATGTAAAACATTTTGAAAATCCATGCATAGTTTTTCATAATATGCATTTTTTCCATGAGCTTTTTGAGCAGTGCTCTCTATATAAATATTTTGTTTTAAATATCATTTTAATATTGATTTAAATATCCATTCATGCATACACTATGTCTGTATAGACACTACATGGAACATGCAAAGATGTCAGAGGCGTGGCCTCTGCCTTGAAGATAAAAGGTATAGTGCTTGGCCGGCGCTGTGGCTCAAAAGGCTAATCCTCCTCCTGCAGCGCCGGCACACTGGGTTCTAGTCCCGGTTCTAGGTGCCGGATTCTGTCCCGGTTGTCCCTCTTCTAGGCCAGCTCTCTGCTATGGCCTGGGAGTGCAGTGGAGGATGGCCCAAATGCTTGGGCCCTGCACCCGCATGGTAGACCAGGATAAGCACCTGACTCCTGGCTTCGGATCAGCGCGGTGCGCCGGCCGCAACGTGCTGGCCAGGGCAGCCATTGGAGGGTGAACCAACAGCAAAAGGAAGACCTTTCTCTCTGTCTCTCTCTCTCTCTCACTGTCCACTCTGCCTGTTAAAAAAAAAAAAAAAAAAAAAAAGGGTACAGTGCTGTAAGTGGCACATCGATTCTATGAGATCTCCGAGGAACTCACTGAAGAAAAGACGACTTTGGATTTCAAGAGGAAGTCAACATTAAACTGGGTCTCCAGCAGAGGTAACAAGCACATGTCACATGTAAAGAGAACAATTAAACAATGTAGAGAGGGCCAGCACTGTGGCATAGTGGGCTAAGCTTCCATCTGCAGTACTGGCATCCCATATGGGCACAGGTTCATGTCCCAGCTGCTTCTCTTCTGATCTAGCTCTCTCCTATGGCCTGGGAAAGCAGTGGAGGATGGCCCAGGTGCTTGGGCTCCTGCATCCACATAAGAGACTGGGAAGAAGCTCTTGACTCCTGGCTTCAGGTCAACCCAGCTTCCGGCCATTTGGGGAGTGAACCAGTGGATGGAAGACCTTTCTATCTCTTTCTCTGCCTGTAACTCCATCTCTCAAATAAATAAGTAAAATCTTAACAAAAAATGTGGAAGAAGGTAGGCACAAAATGTGTTTAAGGAATTACCAAAGCAGTCTGTTGATTAAAGCATGGGAAATGGAATTAATAGCTAGCTTGGGATAGGAGATTGTTTGACAGGTTGTAGATTCTAGAATGTAAACTGAGGGGAGCCATCAAGCTATTGCCCAGGGTATATGATCAAAGCAGTGTTGAGGAAACCGAATTTAATTTTTTTTTTTATTTTTTATTTTTTGACAGGCAGAGTGGACAGTGAGAGAGAGAGACAGAGAGAAAGGTCTTCCTTTGCCGTTGGTTCACCCTCCAATGGCCGCCGCGGCCGGCGCGCTGCGGCCGGCGCACCGCGCTGATCCGATGGCAGGAGCCAAGAGCCAGGTGCTTTTCCTGGTCTCCCATGGGGTGCAGGGCCCAAGTACCTGGGCCATCCTCCACTGCACTCCCTGGCCACAGCAGAGGGCTGGCCTGGAAGAGGGGCAACCGGGACAGAATCCGGCGCCCCGACCGGGACTAGAACCCGGTGTGCCGGTGCCGCAAGGCGGAGGATTAGCCTAGTGAGCCGCGGCGCCGGCCGAGGAAACCGAATTTAATAGGATGACATCATTCAAAATGGAAAACCTGACTGGACAGACCACGTAGGTGGTAAAAAGCAATGAAACTCGGGGCAGTGGCAGTGGGAAAGCAAGGGGGCAGATTCCAGCTCTAAAAGAAGGGAATACAGGGGCCGGCAATCTGGCGTAGCCATTTAACGCCCTGGTCTGAAGCGCTGGCATCCCATGTGGGTGCTGGTTCGAGACCTGGCTGCTCCACTTCCGATCCAGCTCTCTGCTATGGCCTGGTAAAGCAGTGCAAGATGGCCCAAATCCTTGGGCCCCTGCACCCACATGGGAGACCCTGAAGAGGCTCCTGGCTCCTGGCTTCGGATCAGCGCAGCTCCGGTCATTGTGGCCATTTGGGGAATGAGTCAGCAGATGGAAGACCTCTCTCTCTCTCTCTCTGCCTCTTCTCTCTCTGTGTAACTTTGACTTTCAAATAAATAAATAAATCTTTTTTTTTTTTTTTAAGAAGGAATACAGATCCTGGGAGGCAGCAGTGATGGCTCAAATCCCTGGGTTCCTGCCACTCACACTTGGGAGATTTGGATTGAGTTCCCAGCTCCTTGCCCTGGCCCAAGCCCATCCCCAGCCATGGTGGGTATTTGGGGAGTCAACCAGCATATGGGAGCTCTCTCTCTATATCTCTGCCTCTCAAATAAATAAAAATTTAAGAAATGAAAAGAAGAACCGACAACGGGACAGGATAAAAAATGATTATAAATAAGCTGTATCTACTCAAATTAGCTTTAAAAATTACAAGATGTTTGGGAAAAAGAAGTAAGTAGAATAGCATTAACCCACTAACCTGACTAGAAAATAATTTAAAGCCATCATCACCATCACTTCTCATGCAAAGAGCATGAGAATTAAAAAAAAAATGAGGTTTTACCTCACCCCAGTTAGAATGGTTCTCATACAGAAATCAACAAACAATAAATGCTGGTGAAAAAGGTACCCTAATCCACTGTTGGTGGGAATGTGAACTAGTACAGCCATTGTGGAAGATAGTATGGAGATACCTCAGAAAGCTAAAAATAGATATATCATATGACCCAGCAATTCCACTCCTAGAATTTACTCAAATGAAATGAAGTCAACATATGAAAGAATTATCTGGACCTTCTCGTTTATTGGAGCTCAATCTACAATAGCTAAGATATGGAATCAACCCAGATGTCCATCAACTGATCAATGAATAATGAAATTGTGGGATTTATACACTATGGAACACGATTCAGCCATAAAAAATAATGAAATCCTGTCTTTTGCAACAAAATGGATGCAATCAGAAACCATTATACTTAGTGAAATAAGCCAGTCCCAAAAAGACAAATACCATATGTTTTTCCTGATCTGTGGTAACTGAGTGCCAAAAATGTAATGGACAGGAGTGATATTGACATTTTGAGATTCAACGATTGCTTACAGTCCTTGTCTCTACTGTTGAGGAACAGTGTTTTTTTTCTTCTTACTGCTTCCTGAACTCTTTATTTAGGGTAGGGTTAATCTTATAAGAGTATGAAGTTAACTGAAAGTAGATCATTGTGAAAATTAAGACAGGGAATAAGAGAGGAAGGAGACGGAAGAGTTGATGTGTGGGTAGGATGGAGGGTAGGGTGCAAGTTCCTAAATCTGTATATCTGAAATAAGAAAAATTTGTATACCTTAAATTTTAAAAATTTATTAAAAAAAACACTAAATACATAGTAAATGTATGTTAAAATTTCATTTAAAAAAAGAGTAGTAGTAACAGTGGTACATCTGGTACTGACTATAAAATCAAAAGAAAAAAAACCCACAAACAACCCCAACTTAACATTTACCCTGAAAATAAAAAAACACATTTAAATAAAAGTGAAGTTTAGATAACATAGCACTACAAAGTAGACTAGGTTCTAAAAGAGATTACAGAGTGGTTATTTGACCTTGTAAATTATGACAGTTGAGGAAAACAAATTACCATCAGTACTGGTCTCAAAAATGAATTGAACTTTCACCAAAAGTCTCTCCTGTTTCAAGGCTATCATTATTTTGAATATTTTTCCTATGAAAATGACTTCAGATGGAATGAATCCCCTGATTCCAAATGTACTATTGTTAGCAATAAATTATAAATTAAAAATAAAATTACAATCCAGAAATTTACCAGTTAGTAGAAGTCTCATTTTTTGAAATTTTGAAGTTCAAATCTGCCATTCCTCCTACAGGTACTCTGTCACTTCCTGTAGTAAAATGAAGCAACTTCTTTTGAAGATCGAGAGGAAATCCAAGCACAACATCCCAAAAGTATCTACAGAGCACCAAGAGAGATACACATGAAATACCTTGACAAAAATCCTGCAGAGCTTAATAAAGTAAAAACTTCCCTTAAACATATGGAATACCCTTAATGTAAAATTAAGAAATGATGATATTCCATATTTGAATTAGACCTCCGACTAACATGTAAAATAAAACTTTTATAAAATTATGTTAGTACAACAGTAGATAGTGTACAAGCTATTTTTCTTCTATATAATTTACAAATCTTATTTTGTCAACATAGCACTATTAAAATATTACACATGGGGCTGACACCTTGGCATAGTGGGTAATGCTGCCGCCTGCAATGCCAGCATCCCATATGGACTCTGGTTCGAGTTTTGGCTGCTCCACTTCTGATCCAGCTCTCTGTGATGGCCTGGGAAAGCAGTGGAAGATGGCCCAAGTCTTGGGCCCCTGAATCCACGTGGGAGACCCAGAGGAAGCTTCTGGTTCCTGGCTTTGGATCGGCTCAGCTCCGGCTGTTGAGGCCATCTAGGGAGTGAACCAGTGATGGAATACCTCTCTCTCCGCCTCTGCCTCTCTGTAACACTGCCTTTCAAATAAATAAATAAATGTTTTTAAAAAATATTATCCACGCCTGGGTCAAAGTCTTTTTTTTAAAAAAGATTTATTTGAAAAGCAGAGTTAGACAGTGGGAGAGATACAGAAAGATCTTCCACCTTCTGGTTCACTCCCCACAGGGCGGGGCCAGGCTGAAGCCAGGAGCCAGGAGCTTCATCAAGGTCTTCAATGAGGGTGCAGAAGCCCAAGGGCTTGGGCTGTCTTCTGTTGCTCTCCAAGGCACATAAGCAGGGAGCTGGATTGGAAGTGGGGCAGTCTGGGCATGAACTGGAGCCCATACGGGATACTGGTGTCATAGTTGGCGGCTTAACCCGCCACACTATATAACACTGGCCCCATAAAATCTTTTCTTTTTGTAAAGTAAAATCTCTAAACTTTTGTATGAATTTCTTTTAAAGGAATTCCTAGGTAATTTCATATTTAATATTCCCTTATTACTTTGTAGGGATAAAATAAGACAGTGTGGGACTCTACAATATTTCGGGTAACATAATTGATTCAGAGTGAAATTACACAAATAAATGAACCACATTCTGTTTTGCCCCCAGTCCACAACCCCACCTTATAGTCAGGTCTGTTTTTGCGTAGCCGTCATACTGAGTGCTTCTCTGCAGAGCATGCATATCCAGTTCAGGACTTCCACACACAAGAATTTCAACTTCTTCTGGACGAAGCAGCTGCAAATAATTATTTACCAAAAATAAGTTGAAAGGACAATTTTAAATAAAAATTGGAGCTTTTTTCCCTGAGTCAAATCCTAAAAATCATGCCTTCTCATATAGTAAACCAAATCATTTTTGTTTAAGAAAAATCCTTTCCGTTTACATTTTTCCTATTGAGGCAAGGTATTTGTGCCTCTGAAGGTTTATAAATGTTACAACACAGTAATTAGCAGTTTGCAGAAAAACAAGCAAAAGGCTGAGCACAAATCCATGTCACTCTTCCCCAGAGGCCAGTGCAGTGCTCTAGCACCTCCTGACCTGCCTGCTCCCTTCCAGGACGCTGCAACGTGCCTTGGGTGCTGGCTTGCTTTTTCACCTTTAAGTAGGTTATTTCTTCTCCCCAAAGAGATTACAGATCTTAAACACAGATACCGTGCTTTGCATTTACTTCTTATTTTCTCTCCTCCACCTCTATGATTACCAGTCCATCATACTCACAACTTAGAGTTCAATTGCAGTGCTTCCTTTTCAAAGGTCATTTCAACAACAAACCTGTTAAAAAAGTTACTCTACAAGCTGGAAGGAATTTAGGCCATCTGCTCCTGCTTTAAAGTAACCTCCAGAGTCCATTCTCTTTTCTATGAAAAGCAACTCAAATGAAATCTTTCACTGATTTCTGTGGCATAAGGAAGTGTACGCTGGGTAGCAGGAGTGAAGAGGACTATGCGACATTTCCGACACAGCCTTCTAAACCCGTGTTCACGTGACTAAGCCAAGTCACACCAACCTGAGTTCCCCGACTCTGAAATAAACTATTTCCTATGGGCAAAATGCAGCTCAGAGATGCTGAGGGAGCCCTGTAGCAGTAGAAAGCAGATACACACATGTTCTTAGGTCAGTAAGAAGTTGTAGTTTTTTCCTGGAGTTAACTGTTTCTGTGCCTTGTTTCTTGGTATTCAGAATCTGAGTCCTTAGATCTCTTCATCTACTTAACTTAGGGATAGTTTTTAGAACCCTACAAAATACATCCTTAAGATACAACAGAAGGGCCGGCGCCATGGCTCAATAGGCTAATCCTCCGCCTGCGGTGCCGGCACACCGGGTTCTAGTCCTGGTCAGGGCGCCGGATTCTGTCCCGGTTGCTCCTCTTCCAGGCCAGTTCTCTGCTGTGGCCCAGGAGTGCAGTGGAGGATGGCCCAAGTGCTTGGGTCCTGCACCCCATGGGAGACCAGGAGAAGCACCTGGCTCCTGGCTTCAGATCAGCGCACCAGCCGCGGCAGCCACTGGAGGCTGAAGCAACGGCAAAGGAAGACCTTTCTCTCTGTTTCTCTCTCTCACTGTCCCTCTGCCTGTCAAAAAAAAAAAAAAAAAAAAAAAAAAAAAAAAAAAAAACAACAAAAAAACAAACAAACCAGAAAGGGAAAGGGAGGAAAAGAAATGGACTGGGACTTTTCCCCCTTTAAAGAATTAAGGATGAAATGGAAGAGCTATTTTTATTTTTATTTTTAAAAAGTAGGAAACATTTTCTGTATTTTAAAAGCTCATCTATGAGGCCGATGCTGTGGCATAGGGGGTAAAGCCACCGCCTGCAGTGCCAGCATCCCATATGGGCACCAGTTCTAGTCCTGGCTGCTCCACTTTTGATCGAGTTCTCTGCTATGGCCTGGGAACGCAGTAGAAGATGGCCCAAGTCTTTGGGCCCCTGAACCTGCGTGGGAGACCCGGAAGAATCTCCTGCCTTCTGGCTTCAGATTGGCTCAGCTCAGGCCATTGAGGCCATCTGGGGAGTGACCCAGCAGATGGAAGACTTTTTTCTCTCTCTACCTCTGCCTCTCTGTAACTCTGCCTTTAAATCAATCAATATTTGAAACAAACAAACAAAAACCTTATCTACTAAAATATTTTGGGTATTAACTGTCAATATCATATTATAAAGCCAAACTAAAAGCTTAAAGTTGTAAACTCACCATTAGAGCATTTGAAGCGCAAACGCTATGAAACCCATAGTAAAAAGCGGCAAACTGCTTATAGATAGATTTATTGAGAAGGAAGTCCGTATAAAGCTGTACATACTCTGGAAGACAATTTTATATCTGTTAGACAATGTCAATAGTGAATAGTAATTCTATAACGTTTAAAAATGGTATCTAACTTACCTTTCCTGTTTTGATTGGTAACTGTGATTTTATCACCACTTGGCTTTAAATTATAGGACTTAATTATTCCAAATTCTTCTTGAAACACCTGATAGGAGGCATCATCATGGAATATTTATTGGTATGGCTGATGCAATTAACAGCCTTCCATAAACATGTTTGTAAAATTTAAAACGAATATGTTTTCTCCTCTCCCTTTTGAAGAACACAAATTATAGAAAGGCTAAGCTCTTGCAATATTTGTCTTAAGAATGAAGTGTCAGGAAATGATTATGGGGTGAAAAGATCAGGCCTTAACCCCATCTGTCAAATGCAGTTACATACCTTAATGATGTCCATGAAACTTGCACAGCCATCTAATTAATACTCAGGTTTTAAGAGCTATGTGGATCACTCTAATGAATTCCATCTCCCAGTTAATATAAGAATGAATGGAAATGAGAAAGTTTTGGACTGACCCATTAGTTTTGACTTCCAACCTCTTGTGTTGAGGCTACAGGAAGAAGTGAAAAGCTCCAAGAAAGTGACTGAGCCAAGGTACCATGTAACTGCCCAGCCACATATCCACAGCACTCTTAGCGTCAGTGAATTTCTTTAAGCACTTCCACCAACTGCTCATCTACACGTGTCTACCTCACTGTCTGTACTTTATCAGCGTAAGAGCCTTTAAGATAGGGGATTGTATGCATTGATTAATCCTCATTCAACTTTTCTAGCAGAGAGTACTTAAGAACAAATGGCACTTTTCATGCAAGAAATATACAGTTAACAAACAGCTATTTGCCCTTGTTAGTACCTGGAATGTTGAATAGAAATCTTCTTCAACATTGCCTTCATATGATAAGAGTTCACTTAACCCATGGGCCAATTCCTGTAAAAAGAAATTTATCTGTCTTTTTAAATCAAATAGCATTACCTTAAATAGTTAAATCTATTATAGCTCACTTGTATGTGAAATCATGAGTAGATAAACTTTTTCAGATTTCAAAGCAAAGATAATACCTGACAAGTGTTTTCCGGGGCACAAAATGCTTGCTAATTGCTTCTATTATCTAAGGCTTGGAAAAATTCACTATAGGTCATGTAAGAGGAAGCTATCTAGTTAGACCAGAGTCATAACTCTGGGATGTTTTCTTAAACAACAAGCTAAGTTCAACTCCAGTGCACTTCCAGCATAATTCACTGCTGTCAGGTGCACTGCTGTTCATGAATATATAATATTTCTTACTTTCAACTTATATTAACAAAAATCTGGTAATGTTTTAGAATTCACCTTTTATTTATTTTTAAATATTTATTTATTTAAAGTTAAAGAGAGGGAGAACACAAGAAGCAATCTTCCTTCCACTGGTTCACTCCCTAGATGGCCACAACAAGCCCAAGGTTGGGCTGGGCTAAAGCCAGGAACCTGGAGCTTCTTCTGGGTCTCTGACAGGCGTGCAGTGGCCCAAGCATTTGGACCATGCTCTGCTGCTTTCCCAGATGCATTAGAAGTAGAGCAGCACCCATATGGGATGCTGGCACTGCAAGTGGTGGCTTAACCCACTAAACCACCATGCTAGACCCCTGAAATATTTTCTCGTGTTATGTTGCACTTCAAGGTATCCAAGAATAAGGATTTAAGAATAGAAAAATTGACCTGATAATTTTCAAAAATGGTCAGGTTTTATTTTCAAATGTTAAAAAAGGTAAATAACAGCATAGTTAGAATGATCTTGTAAATTGTACATAATAATGCTCTATTTCATTAAAACAGGAAATTTTCAAGCAAATCTAGGCTGACATAGATTTGTTATGATTACCTTTATTTAAATATTCATAAAAATTATCCCACAGAACCTATCAAGGAAAAAAAAACTATCTAGGTCACATAAGGAACTAGAACATAGAAAGGTTAAATGGTTAAATGACACCCAGGTTCATTTACAGAGATATTAAGTGGGAGAACCAGGATTCCAATCACTGACTAACTTCAGAGTTTGCTCCTCTAGGTTGTAAGAGCTCAGAAGTGCTACAAAGTAGGAGGTGTGTCTCCATAAGGAAGAAGGAAGCTAGATGGAAAGGGAGATGAACTACAGATGTACAAGGAAACCATATTTAAGAACAGCATTAAGAGGAGAGAGATTGTGCAGGTAGAATAGAGATGATTTAGCA